TTTTACATTGGTGGCTGAGTGACTTTTTTAGGTGCAAAAGTGGGATGACTTGCACCCCACTCATTCACCTATATTTTAATATCAAGGTGTAGATATTTGGATGAGAAGTGACCAACATTTAAAAATATAAATTAAGAAAAAAAAAAATTTGAAAACAGTTTCTTCAAAAAATACATATATAAAAAAATTGCTACTAAAAACCTCATAACTTTTTCTAGGATTATTCAATTTTGAAAAATTATATATATATAAATATAAATATATATATATATATATATATATATATATATACTGCCGTCCTAAGAAAAAACGCAGTAATCGCAAAAATTGAAAAATCGAGATTATTGCACCAAACGTTTTAACATCGTTTTCTGTGTAATAACGCTCTATATAAAAATATTGTGGTATATTCCGAAGTCATCAAACCCATAGTTCATTTTGCCGTAAGTTAAAAAAATATAGTGTAATACTTAGTAAAAACGCAGCATTATCGCAATACAAATTAAAAATGCAGTATTTGCAACGTACGTACTGCATTTTTTCATAGTATCATTGCTTTACTGCTTTTTAACTTGGCAACACAGACAAAAACGTGGGTTATCTATGACGAATACGACGTCATTGCAACTGCAAGCGTCATCTGATTAGTGTGTGCGTTGGTTGTTCGTTCGTGTTTTCGTATTTGGTGTTTCTTTTTTTTCGGTAAAGATTATTTTTATAGTGAATTATATTTAGGACTATTCAATTTATCGTAGAGTGTTATAAAAATCATAAAATGTTGTGTGATATTTGCAACACTTGGATGTCAAGGATTCAATATATGCTACATCGTGCTTCAGACAAATGTAAATCTTCATTGTTAGATGTAAGTGTTTTATTTATATATTTCCGTAGTCTCAATCTATTTTATGTATCTAAGGTTATGTGTATTGTGTTTATTGATCATAATAATAAATATTCTACAAATTTCTCAAGGTTTCACTATAAAAAATCTACAAGTAACTGTGTAAATACCTAATGTATGGTTCTTCTTGGTTATGTTTTACCCTTTCTTTTACAGGATTCTAGAACAGTTGTATCTGAAGTAACTGTTGATAAAATGGAAGTCGTAGTGTATGAGGCAGAAATTATGGAGGATAGAGGAGATATTGGTAAGAATATTACGTGTTTTTTTTATTATATGGTAACTTGTGTGACATTTTTTATGCAGATATACAATGCATTAAATTATCAGTTTTAGATGAGTCTGTCACAACACTTCAACCTTCAATGGACGAAGATGTCTTAAAGAGTAGAGTGGATGTGGTGGAAAATGGAGAAGAAATTGGTATATCTATTATGTATATTTTATATAACATATAAATTATATGTATAACATAGGTTGTACCGTGTTCTGTACTTAAACGAAGTAATAATTAAATTTTATCTTGTTTCAGTGTTAAAGGAATCTGTGGATAAACCATTGGACAAAGCTGCATCTCCATCGGTCCAATTTACTAAAAAGGGAACTATACGAATTCGCAGAAGTAATTCTTTAAGTGTCAAAGAAAGAAAAGAACGTAAGATGCAACTATATAAAGCAAAGTATGCACTAAAGCCAATTGTTGATTGTTGCAAAAAAAAATGCATTAGCAAAATAAATGAGGGACGACGTATTGAAATTAACGCCCAATATTTAAAATTAGGCTGGAAGGAGAGGAAGACATTTATCCTCAACACATGTGATCGCATGCCTGTAAAGAGGAAAAGTGTTGAAGATGGTGCACGAAAAAACACCTGGAAATACTTCTTCAGTAATAAAGACTCAATCAAGCAGTCCGTGTGCAAGAAGTTTTTCCTAACAACACTAGGATACAAACCAAATAATGACCGTGCAGTATTTGAGGTCCTTAACAAAACTCCAACTGCCGCAATAGCCCCATTAGCTGATGGACGTGGCAAACATGTTTCGGATAGGAAGTATAAACATGACGATTTAATAGATGCGCACATCGAATCATTTGAACCAACTGTATCTCATTACAGGAGGGAACATGCTCCTATTAGAAGATATTTGCCAAGTGATGTGACCATCACCATGATGCACAATGATTTTACACACAAATACCCAGAACAACAAATATCATACGAATATTATAGGTTAGCTATAAAGAAAAAAAATATTTCATTTGCAACTTTGGGCCATGAAGAGTGTGAATTTTGTGAAAAATTTTGTTTACACGGTCACGATGCAGATAATTTAAAAAATGATTGTGATGATTGCCAACAATATATTAATCACAAGATAAGATATGAAGAAGCAAGAGAATTATACAAAAAGGATGCGGAGCTCAATGATGGCAGCATTTTCTCTGTAGATTTATAGAAAGTCATCATGCTGCCACGTTTGGATGCATTTAAAAAAGTTATATTTACAAAGAGGATAGTGGCTTACCACGAGTGTTTCGTTCCTCTTGGGAAGAAAGCACATGGTGTTCCCATGGCATGTATATGGCATGAAGGTGTAACTGGGAGGAACAAGGAGGACATTGTTAGTACATTTTATGCTTTTTTTTTGAGGCAGAGGGACTCGAAAAAGATTACACTTTGGCTCGACAATTGTTCGAGCCAAAATAAAAATTGGTGCCTTCTGTCTTTTTTAGTATATATTGTAAATAGTGATGAAGTAGATATGGATGAAATACAACTAAAATACTTTGAGCCAGGACATACATATATGAGTGCCGACAGTTTTCATCATCAGGTGGAGCTCTCCATGAAGAAACAAAAAGTTTACGATTTTCCTGATTTTTCCAAAGCTGTACAGAATGCTAATAAAGGGAAGGTGGATGTGAAAGAAATGACATTTTCAGATATATACATGTGGAAAGATAACAAATCCCAACAGAAGTTAAAGAAATCTTCTGAAAAAATATATCTGAAGAACATTGTAGCAGTGAGAACACGCAGAGGTAAATTTACAATGGAATACAAAACTTCTCATACGGAGGAGTTTACAAAACAATTAGACTTCCTCTGTAAGAAATCATCAACAAAGAAAATATCAAAACCTCCACAGTTGGACAAGCCTCGTGGGGTGGCTCAAGACAAAATCGATGATATTTTGTCGAATTTATCGAGTTTAATGCCAGCCAGCAGGAGAATTTTCTGGAACAATTTAAAAAATATATAATTTCATTTATATAATATATTTTTTCAATTATATATGTATTTTTTTATTCTAATAAAACGTTTTAAAAAATCTAATTTACTTTATCTACCTTATACACACTTTGAATGAAGTTGACAAAATAAGAGATGGAAAGACTGATTATTAATTTGATAATGGGTAAATTGTGGTTTTTGAGCCCCTAGTGCACTCCTAACTAATGGTAAGAGAATGGTATTATTTGATATTCGTGGAAAAAATATGTTGCTGGGTTGGACTGGTTGTTATAAATATCATATTTGTTGGTTGTAAGTATTCTTTACTCAAAATTCTTCCTATTAATTAGACGCAGTCTAGCTCTATGTTATAACTCCACTATTAATTAAGGTTTGTTTGGAAACCATTGATTATCAAGCTAGATTGTGATTAACAATGCCTTTTATAAAAACACATTGATATTTATGAAAAAATATATATTGGAGTATGCATGCATTTTTGTATTGATTATACTGCGTTTTTATCTAGGATGACGGCTGTGAAATATTGTGTAAATTAGCAGTGTGTGATTTTTCAGCCTATATATTGATGTTTTGGTTAAATATAAATTTTCATTGAATAAAGGAAGTATTTTGTATTCATAATCTATGTGGCATGAAAGTCTAATTATTATATTCAAGTAAGGTTCACACAAAATTTAAAAGTGGCTTTTTCTCAGAATGTCATTTTTGTTGTTTACTGCGTTTTTACTTAGGGCGGCAGTATATATATATATATATATATATATATATATATATATATATATATATATATATATATATATATATATATATATATATATATATATATATATATATATATATATATATATATCATATATATATATATATATATATATATATATATATATATATATATATATATATATATATATATATATATATATATATATATATATATATATATATATATATATGTATACACAAGCTATTTGCCAGTCGATGTGAGCACTGAAGCCCCCAGCAGCAGGCTATTTCAGTATGACATCAGACCACCTAAATTAGTAGTATATGTTTATACTAGATGTTTATCAATGTTTATTCTAGATTTAACTAATATTTCTATATTAGTATTTATTATTATAATTATTGGTATTTGTATTAAATATTTAGTTAGTATTAGTTTTTTCTTTTTCTTTTTTTTTTCTTAATTCTATTATCTTCAACTCTAATTCAACAATTTTTCTTTTTTCTTGGTAATACTTCTTTTTATTCTACCATTATTCATATTTTTAACTTTTATTATTTTTTATCTAAATTAGCTACTATTATTTTTATTATTATCTATTGTCAGTATTATTACGTACTTATTTTAATTAAATTTAGTATTATTAATATATATAATTAACTCAAGTTTTTGTTCCTTGGTTGATGTGTTTGTCTATTGTATTATTATTAGTAGTAGTAGAAGTAGCAGTTTTTTTATTATCATTATTTTTATTTATTTACAAGGCCTTTTTGTTTTGTTTTGTTTTATAAGGTCTCTGCTTTGAATTAGTCCTTTACTATTTGCATTGTTCCTTCACAAAAATATTATTGTTAAATTTATACTATATTGTAAACAATATCTATTTTTGTGAAAATATATTGATTGATATTATATATATTTATATATATATATATATATATATATATATATATATATATATATATATATATATATATATATATATATATATATATATATATATATATATATATATATATATATATATATTTGAGTGTATGTGTGTGTGTGTGTGTGTGAGTGTGTGTGTGTGTGTGCGTGTGTGTGTGTGCTATTCAAAATATATAACCTGGTTTGAAGACAAAAAAGCTTCATTACAAAATTCTTCACAAATCTCAGCTCCAAAAATTATAACAAAATAGCTAAAAAGCCCATAAATACTTATTAAAAACATTTTTACTAATAAAAAGATCGATGAAAAAATCGAAAAATTACTTTTACGGCTCCTTATATAATATATTAATTCAGTATTGATGAATATATGGGATTGACAACATAGCCCATAATCCTCTCCGTTTCTGTTTTATCAAAAAAAGCCCGTTACTGGCTGAAAAAAAACCTTTTTCGGTTTCTCAAATAAAAATGCAAGATCGTTTTAGAAAGCGTTATTACTTTCTTACTTTTTTTCGTTGTTGTTGAGTTGATATATATAAAAAGCAACATTAAAAATATTAAACTTATAAATTCAAATTCTAATTAAAACAACTTAAACCTTTACAAAGGAATCTCATAATAAACGAAACGACTCATAAAAGTTCATATAAAAAATCTCATAAAGAATATATTAGATCAGATTGATAACTTTTCTGCTTTTGCCGTTGACCTTGCTAGGAAACAAAAGACATGTTAAAAAATTATTAATTAATAAAATAAATTAGTTTTTATTATTTTTTTATCTATTTTATGTGAATAATTTGATTATGAATCAATTTTAAACAGTTCATTTGAAACTTTAGAGGTTCTCATGAGTTGTTGAAAGTGCGTGTTATCTCACAAAGATCTCTTAAATTTTTAAACAACTATTTTCATTGTTTTCAAATTGATAGTTAAAATCTACTTTATATATATCTTAATATATATATAAAGCAGGGGCGGATCTAGGCTGTAGCAAGTGTAGCAATTGCTACACCAACTTAGTTGTTGTTTTTCTTTTTTTTTATATTTGATATTTACATTCTTTTTTTCATGCAAAAGAAGAATATAATTTTAACAAGATAGGTTGCAAGTAGTGAAGACGCGGCGCTCCGAAAATTTATTTATAATTGTAGCTGAGCCAAGTTGACTATCTTACGGAAATATTGCATTCAGAAATATTTAAAAAACCCAAGTTTTTTGGCTTTTGTCTTACATGCTCAAATATCTTTGAAAGAATGTCAAACATTTCGGAGCGCATCAACTTAAAATGGACTGGGAGTTAAATAAAATGGCAAATCGAGTGTAGCAACTGGAGTTAAAGTCAGGTTGTCATTATTTCAAACTACTCTATACATACCCCCTGATACTTTATAAAAATTATGCCTATTTATATGCAATCTTTTTATTAACAAGGAGGTTTTAAGTTAGGACTAAAGGTCATCAAGCGAGAACCTGTAGCAAGTGTAGCAAAAAAACAAAAATCTGCTTTGCTAAATCAAAAAGCGTTAATTAATTTTTTAATGAGTGCAATTGAGCGTTAAAAGCAAACAACCATTCTTTAATTGATCAGATTAAGTTAAGTAACACTGCCAAATTAAACAAGCGCTCCCAGAAAAACTCTGATGGAATCTATATTTTATATAAATTGTCTGGTGGAGCCGATGGTTTTATGGATGTTGCAGCAAGTAATAGTTTGGCTAGATTGTATGCTGATAAACTTATAAACGAAGAAACATGTTCAATAGTGCCTGTCAGGTAAAATCTTTGTTATAGTTTTTTTGGTGTCCAGCTGACTAACGCAATGGATGAATAGATATTTAGAATTTTTAGTTAGTGCTAGATTTGCTATATCAAAAGAACTTCTTGATTTATAGTCAAAAAATGTGTGTGTGTGTGTGTGTGTGTGTGTGTGTGTGTGTGTGTGTGTGTGTGTGTGTGCGTGTGTATGTTTGTGTGCGTGTATGTGGGTGTATTTGCATATAAATTTATAAGAATAAATTTATATGCAAATACACCCCATCCAGAACTCCTCAAGATGGCAATTGTTTATTTTCTGCTGTCTCCATTGCTTTAATCAGAAACAATATGCTAGCAACAACGGTAGAAACATGATTCCATAGCGTAAAGTTAGGTGACGTAATGTTTATTTTTTGGCGAATAATTAAGTATTTAAGATGCAAAAAGCATTGTTAAATTATTTGTTTTATGCAATAGTTTTATGTGAATATTTAATTATTGGTCATGCGTGGTAAAATGTTTTTATCAAATAGTAACTCAATACAAAATTTGTGAAACATGATTTTATACTATAATACAAATGTTTTTATACAATTTATATTTAAATCATGATATAAGAATATTAATTGTGATCATAATATCAAAATGAACCGCGATTGTTAAGATATTTTGATAATAAAGAAAACTAAATCATAACATGTTTACTGTAGTTGGTTTGTTTATTAGTCATTTTGTGAGGATGGCTAAGGAATTATTTCTAAAGTTATAACAAGCACATTCTTGAGTTTTATCTTTATTTTTTAATCTTAGTGCTTCTACTATGATAAGAAACTTTATGCAAACAACAACAACAAATAAAAGCAATAGGAGCAACATTTATTTTATAATAACAGTAATAATAATGAAAATAATAACAATAAAAATACCTATTATATCATAAATAATAAAATCATAATATCATTATATTATCCAGGTTTATACAATTGTAATTGCTATCTCTAAAGCTATGGTGATGGTTTATATTTTAGCCAATTTAAAAATCAACCTGTTATACACAGGGTATATACAAATGAAAATACCATATTGAATTCTGGTGTATTTTTGAAGAACATTTTTTTTCAAAAAGTATTAAAGTTTTTGTGTGCAAGAAAAGAAAACTAAAGATTTTCAAATTAAAGAAAAATATGCATCATGTTTTCGATAATATTTTTGTGTATCTTTTTACGTAACATGGTTTGATCAATTTTTACAATGTTCCCCATCTAAATTGGCAGGAAAAAAGTTTATAAAAAGTATACAGTTTTATAGCAAGTTAACAAATCTACTTTTAACGAAGCTTAAAATAAAAAGTTTGCAAAATAGTGTATGTATAGATTTATGTTCTGTTGTTGTTCATTTACTATAAACAAGTATATGAATTTGGAAATGGAAATTTAGTTCAAATGGAAATTTAGTTCAACGCCAATAGCAATTGTGATAAAGTAATTTAAGATCATTTAAAGTTCAGTCAAGCAAGCACCTGAAAATGGTCAACTTTTTGTTTAATATAGATTGCTGTTCCAAATACAAATTGCAGATATGATCCAATACTTTATGTCAAGCAAGGTTCAAATTTTAAACCAAACAAACTTACTATCTGTTGATCTTCTACTTTGTTTTGAAGTTATGAGTTCAGATAGATATGTAAAACATTTAGTTTACAATTTTTTTTATAGCTTTTAAGCTCAAACTAGTAACCAATGATGTAATTAAAAAGTTTTATTTTTACAAATTTTAATTTGAAAGGAGAACAACATACATTATTAAATAAGCTATAATTTGAATGCATATATTTAAATATAGGGAAGATCAATCAATCACCCCTTTATATGTATATATAAATATATATATATATATTTTTTTTATATATGTAAGTTTTGATTTATATGTAAGTCTGTACAAAGATATAATTTTATATAGCTTTATATTTTATTAAAAGTATGTTTTAATTATATTTTAATATGTTTTAATTTATGTTTTTAATATTTTTTTTTGATACAAAAGATGTTTTGTTCAAAGCAGATCAGCCAACCATATAAAGGACAGATAAAACTGACCCTCATCTCAGACTTAAGGGTCAATTAATGCAATTTTTCAAAAGCTTCTTTTGAAGTATGCAACCCTGATGTCTTGATGGGCACAATCACATGGAAGTAATGTAATATTAAATTAAATATTAAAGCATAAAATTTGCATTTACTTTACTTTGCTCTAACATCAAGTAATAATAAAAGTCCCAAACCATATTCAATTAAAAATAGGTTTTTAACTTGTAAGTGAATCAAATTAAATTAAACATTTTATTTTTGTTTTTTTAGATGTTACATATAGTGTAATACAAAAGGTATAAAATAATATCAAACAAAGTTGCTTGGTAGGGTATACTGGATCCATCCACTACTTCTAAAAAATCCTTAAAAACCACTATATAAAATAAAAAACAAGAGAATAGTAAAAGAATTCCTTTTATTTACATATTTAAGCAAACTGTTGATATAAAATTTTAACAAAAAAACATTTTAATATTTTTTTATAAAACAAAATAGGGGTAATTTCTACACGTTTTCATAAAAAATTCGAACGTACTTGAACGTTTTGTGTTAGCGGGGAGGTCATACATAACATTCAGATCGCAAACTTTAGGGTCATCCACATTTACCCCACACATTGTGCATAAAATTGGTTTGTTTGCGGCATCACTCATTGTTGTTTTTTTCATGTCTTTTCCCTTCCCTTTACCTGTAATGAAGACAATTTTCGGCTTGGTTTTAGCCTAATTTTCTTTAGTGAGCCTAGCAATGCATTTATCTGAAGTGAGGCTTTCACCACACTATTTTTTTATGGCCTTTCCTCTCGTCTCCATTTGCCGCTTCCCTAGTTTTTCATGAAAAGGTGTGAGATTTGACCCATGACTAAAATTGTCTTATTTGGTTGAAATTATGAATAATTATATATCTAATACCATATACAGATATTAATACTACTAAATTAACATGTTGCCTAAGGATATTTACAAGCAAAGGTTCAAATTGTGAAATTAAAAATTTTATCATCTCTGTACACATTAAACACATCCAAAAAATAAATGATGATTAATAAAAGTATGATGATCAATAAAAATATATTTTAAAATGTATTTTAAAGTACATATATGGTACTTAGATTGAAGATGATTTTGGATTTCCAAAAAAAGTTTCATAAACAAATTTCTAAATCAGTATGGGTCAGGAAGCATATACTTAGTGAGAAACAGAAAGTTGGCAATCAAAAACATGAGCTAAAAGTGGTTCAAGTTTTTTTAGTTTATCTGTATTGCTCCATATCTTTTTAGAGGGTGGAATTTCCCCGGGGATAGAGTTACCCCAGTCTAGCCTACAATTGTTTGAAATAAGTTTACATTATTTGCGTATTTAGTTGCGACATTATTTTTGCCAATGCATTGTTTAATTTGATAAAGTTAGTACATTAACTATTTCTATTTGGTAACATTATGTTACTAATAACACAATTCAACTTTTTATCGTATTCCATAAATATTTATTTTTAATATTGAAAGTAGCTTATAATTT